TGGGTCTGGACTCAACCAAATTGATTTACCTTCAACAATAGAAGATATATTCAGAAATAAGTTATCTTATAATATAATGGACATATAGAATAGTATATTGACAAACAAAAATAAGAGGAAAGTTAAAAACTGTCCAACAATGGATAAAGATTGATTTGTTATTAAATGGTGGCAAGGGCAGGTGTTTGTTATCTGATAAAGCAAAGCAAGTACCATCCAACCAAAACAACTATACTATGAAGTCATATGCTTTAAGAGAAGAGATAGGGGTATACCAAAAAAATCCAAGAAAATTGTGCAATTCTAGTAAATAAAAAAAAGTAGCCAGCAATGTATCTATTTTAATATCCTATATGAAGAAGAAATTATAACTAGTTAGGTTTATGTAATGTAATGAGACAATCTATGTATATAACTAGAAAATGTACACAAATTTTGAAATAAATAAAAGATTATTTTTATGCAAATTGTGTCTATCTACTCTTCTATTGAATACCTCATGAATAACTTGCTATAATCTCTATGGCTTTCAGAGATGGGATTCCATTTTCTTCAGGTTTGTGCATTCCAAATGTTAATAGTTATGAGTTGATGATATAAGAATTATATATAATTATTGGTAATGACTTATTTGTTAATATTTACCATCAATAAGCTTGTAAATGATAATGTTTGGGATACAGATAGTGGAAAACATATTGAGTTGGAGGTGTTAAGTATGAAAATGTTGATTCTTGAGTTTGTACAGGTTCTGTTGAAATTGTCATAGCTTGTGTCTTTATAAATTTATTTTTTGAATTTTTTCTTCTTTTCCTACAGGATGGAGCCTCTTGAATGCCCTGCACAAGATAAATATGAAATCAGTAATAACCTCATTTTGTATTAGATGTAATTTAAATAAAAACTTAATAACTCTTGGTCTTTCATAAGTCGTCTTCTTATAATTAAAATTTTTCTCTTAAGGTTTATAGCATCGCTTTCTTTTTCTTCCTTCACTATTTTTGAACCCTTTAGGCATATTTTTAGAATTTAGGACTAGTGATCTACTCGATTTAGGAATAACATCTTCATTACTATCTAAAATTTCATTTCTAATTCAACAATGCATCTATAAACACACTCAAAACTTTCAACATTCGTAACTGCCTTTTTTACTTGTCTTCCCATTTTATGCATTAATTGTCTACATCTTTGCGTGATTTTAAGTTTACGATCTACTTATATCTTGCTCCCTCCAACATCATATACAACATCACTCCTTGCTTCTCCAGTCCATCTCTTAATAATGTATTGCTTGGGCATAATTCTCACATCCTTTAACTCACATACTTTCAACGCATAGCAACACAATATTCCAATGGCCTCAAACATTCGATAAGTGCAATAAATTTCATGTGTATTAGGTTTAAACTCAACTCTCCATTCTCTTTCTTCATCAATCATGTGGGCATTGTATACATATGAAAGTCCTTCCTCATCACGATTAGTCAACATCACAGAGAATTGGAGATCCTATTGTGCTTGGAACATGTCAAAGGTACTAGAGGTATAAGTTAGCACAAGTTGGCACAATATAGGCATCCTTTGATTAACCATCCTTAGTATTTATTGTCAAGAATTAAACTCAAGTTCCAATTCCTTGTCTTGCTTCTCTACAACAACTTTGTCAAAAGTGGTAAAGAATTCATTGATATCTAAATTCAGTGTTGTACATCCCTTCACATTAGCATTCACACTTTTACTAAGCTGTTTACTTCTCATACTTAATGTGCGATGATTCTTTACATAGCACCAAGCCCATTTATCCTTAATATTGTACATGGATATCAACCTTATATTTTTATGGATATCATAAGAAGATATTAATTGGCTCCATGCTTTTTAAAACCTTTCTTATGAAATTTACAAAAGTTAGTCAAAAAGTGTGATCCATCTTTCATTAAGTTTCCCAAGTGTTTGATGCCATTTTGCTTTAAATGCCAAGTACACAAACAATGCTTTGTGTCAAGAATAATTTCACTTAAAGCTCTTGCCATAGCTTGATCTTGATTTGTAAACACAAATTTAGGCTTCTTTTACATGTGAGCATCCAGGAAATTTTCTAATAGCTACTTGAATGACACAGTGGTCTCATTATACAATAATGTCGCTCCAAACATGACAACACTTTTATAATGATTAAAGTTAGAAAAGATTGCAAGAAGTCGATGATCACGATTTGTGCAATATATTGTGTCTAGAGATACAACCTCATCAAGAAGTATATAGTCTATTAACATTGCAGTATCTGCCTAAAACACAATGGTGATTTATTCTTCTATGTCTATCTGATATTTGTGGTAAAATGCAAGATTAACTGCAAGTTGTTTTTGAAAATATTCAAATAGACACATTACCTCTCCATACTTCATATTTCTTTGCCTTTGTTTTTGCAAATAGTTTTGCATATCTACTCGCGTATAACCAAGATTTGATTTACCTTCAGCATATGTACTCATTAAGTCAAAAGCAGCTTTTCATTGGAGCCCATACTTTCTTGCCATATCAATCCCATAAGCATCAACTTTTGATAAATTTTTTTGAGATACTAAGAAGTGCCTTCTTGTTGGTGTGTGTAAGGGGTGATTATGTGCTTTACCAAATTTAGTGATTTTATACTTTTAATCAACAAAAGATACTATCATTCTTGCCTTACAATTAGTCCTTTTTTTTTTTGCCTAATACTTGGAAGAATATGTCTCCTTTCTTTGTTCTTTTCGACAACCCTCCTTATAACATACATATCTATATATAATAAGTGAACTATCTTTTCTGCTATTACCAGTGTACTTTCTAAGTTCAAACTCAATGTTTTTAGCATATTCTTGCCAAAATTCCCATGCCTCTTCCCAACTTCCAAACCCTCTTCCTATTTTGAGTTTCAAGTCATCCTCCATTGTAAAGTTCTTGTGGAGAAAAAATCATTATTTACTTAAATAATATCAAATCCTTAATTTTTAAAGAACATTCATAAAATATAAAATTATAATATCAATGTGATATATTTAACTCCTTTCAGGTTTGTGTATGTATAAATTTAACTCTCTTCAGCCTTTACACACACTCTGTCTTCAGGTTATATATATATATATATATATTTAACACCCTTAAGGTTTTATATGTGTGAGCGTTAATGTTGGTTTCAGCTTCGTTTTTTTATTATGAAGTTATCAGCTTTTTATGTAGGTGGGTATGTATAACAGCACCAATTTCAGGTTATATTTATCATCTATTTTATCTATTTCATTAATGAGTGTATATATATCAGATAGCTAACATATTGGTTTCATTGTACCCACCTACGTCTTCATCCTTCCTCCTCTTGTTGAGCTTGGAGTGATCCACTTCTTCCTTCCTCCTCTTGTCTAGCTTGCATTGATCTTTCTATTCGTTTTTCCTCCTCTATTTCCAAACAGCCTCTTCCTCCTTCTTGCCCTATTTCGATGTACTCTCTTCCTTCTTCTTGCTTTGTGTCTATGCCATCCATCTCCAGCTCTGCTCTGGTCTGAACTTTCGTGGGAAAATTTGGAGAATGAAAATATGATCCCACCCAATTTTTGCTTTGTGTCTATACTGCCAGGAATGGTCAGGATGCTCACTTAAGCAAGACTGTGTGTTTTGAGTGATGAGCTTTCGGTGCACCGAATGAGAACGTCTCTTACTACTGCTTCTCTCCCTCTAACGGGAACTCCAATGCCTTTGCATAAGCTTAGGGGTGGGCTCTACGTCCTGGGCCTACTTGAGCAACTCAAGGAGCGACAGCATACAATGGCATCACGCGCCGTCCCCTATACCGGCTGTAATATCAAGAAATCTGGTGAGCTCAGGAAAATGTTCGATATTCCACTCACGGATCCATCTTTGAATGCTTCATTTTCGTGAATTGTGAATGTTTGAAATTAATTGAAGAAGTTTTTTTTTTCAAATTTAAGAGAGATTAATTTTGTGATTTCTATCAATATTTTAATTTCATTTCCTTACCCTTTCAAATTTTAAAAAGCTCTCTTTTTGTTATTATATTTGGTTAAAGGGAATAGACGGAAATTTTCCCTATTTATTAGCTAATCCACATATTCATCACTTTCATTCAACAAATCAACCGTTTTCTATTTGTTGCCAGATTCAACAAATAATGATCAACTAGGGGAACAAAGAAACAGCTGGACAGGAATCAGTCTACAGTGCAGCTATTTATTGAGGTCGCACGAACTATACACGTAGGCAACAATAAAAATCTCGCAGAATTACCTAACATCAATTATACATGTCAATGCCATGTGCGGATGACGTTGCACAGGACATACCGACACCACATTTACTGAAGACAAAGATATCTGGCCGCTTATTTAATTTTTTAAGATGATATACAGGGGTAATATAGAGCTAGCATACATTTACAAAATTGGAGGAAGGTCATCGTGATGTTGGTTGTTCAAAGTTGACGTCCAGGTCTAGCAGCCAACCTCCATTTTCGCACTTCCAGTTACTAATAGGGTTGTTATCAATACACACTCGTAATAGAAAATTCCTGATTGTTTATAAGTCATAAATTATACGTATTGTGAATTAATTAACTATTTATAGAACAGACTAAATTTATCAAAGTATTGGGAGAAAGACGACGACCAAGCTATTATGGGCCATCGTGTTGCTGTCAAGGAATATAGCATCGTCATGGGGCGTGCGATCCGTTGATTGGACGGACTCAAAACCTAGTTTTAGGCCCAAACCCAAGTGACTCGCTTAAATGCGTTTCTTTCCTGTCGTGTCATCCAGCCACGTGACACGGATTGCTTTTTCCACTGGCATACCTAATTCTTGGTACGTCGCGTTTCATTCTAGCCTCCACATGTTTGTACTTTTGAAAGCCACGGGCGTGCTTGGTTTCGATTTAGCAATTCACCACTAAAAAGTACAAGAGAGAATATATCCCAGCTTTGACCAAAAGAAGAAAAAGAGAGTGGCTTGAATCCCCCTAGTCATTCTCTACAGCATTTCACAAACCTAATAAAGGAATATACACAGCAGTCCATTCCCAATAATGGAGGGAAGAAAGAAACAATGCTACGATGTTCTAAACATTTTCAGCTGAAGCATTCGATACTATAAACATGCCAGATCGTAAAGATATGTCATGATCCTCATAATGAGAGATCAAAGCCTTCACGATTTGGTGAAATCTCCTCCTGTAAGTTGGAAACTTCGATACACTCTTTATCATTCCAATCATCCTAACAATGTATTAAGGCATTTATCCATTAGTCCCCAAAAAAAAAAAAAAAAGATAATAGTGCAGAGATTGTTCCTGTAACTTGAAAGCTAAAAACAACAACGTACCTTCTACTAATTCCCTGGACTTGAGCAGCTCTAAGAGGATCCCGAAGCACTAAACTACCGTTATCCCAAGCTTCCATGCGTTGTGCATTGCTGCCAAACAGAACTACTTTCTCCAAGTATCTAACTTCCCCCTCCTCCAATTTTATGACGCTAATCTGTTCCTTTAGAACCATTATAGGATTGAAGAACCAATCCAATAGTTTGTCCTTGGGTCTGTTCAAATGAGTTATCTCGAGACCATCAATTAGCAGTAACCCAGTTGAGTTGGACTTGATGGAGGACACAATAGTTTGTAGAAATGAATAACATGGCAAGCCAACTCCAACTATGGCAGCTTCATCGCTGTTCTTTCCCTTCAACCACTCGTAAAGGTCAGCATGTGTCAGTACATTTGCATCCAGTAATTCCTTGCCTCTCATCTCACAGGACCTCATCATGTTGTCCCAGATCTGTCAACATTAAACAGAGCAGACGAAATTTTTTAATTTAAATCATCAAAGCTCAAGCCAGAGGAACAACATCCAGTTATGATAAAAAAGGTCTTCAGGATCTCTACAAGGCCTCCTTCACGATACTGCAAAGAAGAAAGCTACCTAGATCCTGTCAATGAGAATACGCATGCTTTTTTACAATTGCACTGAAAAGTTTTTCCAAAATTCCTCAGATTTTGCTAAACCGGACTATCACTAGAAGCTAGCTAGCATGTCCGAAGAGCAAACATGGTTTGGAAAACGTCTAATCATTTGACTTGCTTGCAAGCTACTAGAGCAATCCAATCATGATTTTATTGATTCTAGATTTATTTCAAAACGGGAAAACAACACAAATGTGTAGGTCACCAACTAGTAAATAGCAGAGTATAGGGCAGCTTTTTTCCGACCCTGATATTAATGGATTAGCATTGTTGTAAAGGGTTATCATTTGACATGGAAATTTTGCCGCCGAAACAATTCAACTGAAGTGGTAAAATTAGGAAAACAATTTTCCAGCAGTTGACTTGGCTAATATTCTAGACCGAACAATGACCATGGGTGCCCTGAACCATAAAATGGAAGTGCGAGGGTGAAACCTGAAATACCTGAACCATTTTCACTTCATGAATAGTCTCTCTTACTGATCTTGAAGGAGTTAAGCTTGGCATAAACATTGCAGGTGAATCCGTAGTGGAAACTGACATGCCTCCGGCTACACTATTACCTTTCACAGAAAATTCTGACGAGTGCGCAACCCTTTTCTTTCGGTACCGGGGCCTGGCTGAGAGCAAATTAATTGTTGATTTTAGTGGAACAAATAGCCAGGCACTAGAAAATGCAAGAATAAACTAGTTGAGAGAATGATTACTTTGGAAATATAGTTCCCTCGCGAAGATAGAGCCAGTCGTTTGTATACTCATCAAACTCAGCGACCATTGCAATCACATAGGCTACAGCTCTTCGAAAGGATCTTTCCTTCACCCAAAAGGAAGTTTCAAAGTTAGTTCAGTGATTAAGTGAAGAAAAAATCGCCTAGCTTCTGGAATGGGGGGAAAAAAAGAGAGATCAGACCTGAAACACGATGACAGATGCATAAAGTCCGATAAAAAAGCTGGAGAAAATAGCCAACAAAATGCTAGCAATGACAGCGAGCGGCCACATCAGTATTGTCAATCCAGCTATTGGGATACAAGCAGTTTCAAGAAATGGGCCTTCTCTAGTAATTAAATCCTGAATCAGTCGGAACCAGCCTTTGAACAACATGTATGGACTCTTTACAATGGCAATTGCAGTAAAAAGAGGAATCTCAACAATTAGCCCCATTATTCCCACGATGATACAGGCAGGAACATGAATTAGCCTACAACCAAAAAATAGAAATTCCCATCTGTCATAATCACCCTAATATTTTGCATCATTGCAGAGCAACCTAGTGAAGCACATGAATACAGTTTTTCTGCCTTGTTAACTGAAGGAGTGGTTCACATAGTTAATGTCAAGACCTTCACCTCAGCCTTTGAAGCTCGTCAGAAGCAGGCAACTCACGCAATTCCTTCAAGTAACCTGAGTATGAATGGTAACATATATCTGCAAAATCTCTAACAACGGTGCAACTCCCTTCGATAGTTCCCCAGGTACCGTCCTAAATCCAGTACGAGTAAATAAAATGAGCGCAAAAAAGTAGACAAGTTTTGAGAAAACGAGATCTTATAAGAGCATCACCACAAAAGAGTGCAGAAACTTCTTGGACTCGTCATCATGGCGGAAGGCCTCAAAAGTAGAAACCCATGGGGTGAAAAAGCCATATCCTACCCCAACGAGAACGCTTCCGGCTATGCCCAGACCCAACCATAAACCAAACAACGCAGGCAAAGCAAACAAAACAGCAACTTTCATAGCGGCATCAACAATATTAATCCTGCAAACATAAACCCATAAGCGCAAGAGGTAGAAGACTGAAACTCATAATCACGAAGAGAAAAAGAATTCGGAAAGGGGGTGAAGAAAGTACTTTAGAAGGGTGTAAACAGTCCAGGCCACATGTGCAGGGAACAACCCCAAAATTACGCTTACATTCCCTATAATTAACAACAGAGCAGCAACAGGACCCACAAGCAAGCCTGCAGAATTCAATGAAGATAAAAAAAAAAAAGGATAATCGTAAGCATTCGGGATTCAACAACAGACACTGAATCATGAACGAAAGGGGAAAAAAGGCTGAAAGAGGGGACCTTTTATAGCACCGCAAACAAAAGCAGAGCAGAATGCAAACACAACGTAGGCAATCTTCATCCAAGCATTCAAAGCCGCAGGGAAGTCCATGCGAACGAATCATAAAGACGTTACCACCGCCAAACTAGAATCTGAACGAAGTTTCCAAGACAATTCTACTAAATAAATTTGGGTAAAAAGAAAATCGGAAAGAGAAGGAAAATATCTAAGAAAAAGAGTTTTGAGGACAGAGGAGGGGGCGTGCGCTGCAAGAAGGTAGGAAAAGAAGAGAAGGAAAACGGAAACTCAGCGAAAATAAATCATGAAGATATTCGGGGCCAAAAAAAACTGAAAAAGTATCATTGACATAGGGGGGTGGGGGAGAGAGAGAGCGCGAAGAAGGAACAAAAAATAGGAGGTATTCTTTTCATTGACCAGTCTCGCAACTCCAACCCCTATCCTATGAGGCTATGAGTATGACCTCCAAAAGATTTGAAAAAGGAAGAAGAAAAGGCGAGAAAAAAAAAACAACGGTTTTAACGGCAATCGTGGCACTACAAGTCTGCAACACAATCCAACAGGCGACTGCAGCCTTATTACGTAGTATGAGTCTAAGGTCTCATCTCATGGAAGAATTTTTAATAAAATTAAAATTAAAATTAAAATAAAATAAAATTTTAAAAATATATTTAATATGAAGATGGAATTTTGATATGATTTTAATAAATATATTTATTTAAAATAAAAAAAATTAAAATATCCATTTCACCCTTTGCTATTAAAAAATAAAAAGAAATAGAAAAAAAACCTCTGCAAATGCATCCCATCATTACACCCCTCATCATCGCTGCTATTGGCTGTTTCATTACTTTCAGCCAAATACCCACAATTTACAAACAAAATAAATGTAAGATGGTGAGGAAGAGAAACAAACTAAACAATGCCGAGTCCTAAAAAAGAGAAACAAATCGGTACAAAATGAAGTCTTGCAAAGTGGATGCTACTGAGGAAGAAGATGAACAGTGATGAAGATGTGGGTGGAGGAGAATGAACAAGCGATCATCAAGAGATTGAAGATGAATATAAGCGACAGGATTTGAAAACAATGTCTAACAATGGAGACGATAACATGGTGATCTGTGTAGCCGAAAGTCATGGGGAGGGGAGATGGTATTGACGGAGGCAAAGATCATAAACTAAGGTGAGAGGTGGAGATCAAAGATAGTGGTAACCAAAGTGATGATAAGGCGATAAACAGGCAGAATGGAATCAGATTCTTTAGGCATCATGATGAAATCGGATTTTGACTAATTTACTGAAAATTCTTGAGAATAAAAATTTAATTATATCAAACATGTTTGTGTATGGAATACTCATCCAATTTCATTTTCATCTGCAAAAATTTTTTATACCAAACATGACCTAAGAAAGCATTGGTAGTGGAAAGTCTTGGAGTCCTCCCTTGCCGGTGCATGGCCATGCTCACAAGTCACGACATAAATGTGTGTGTGTGTGTGTGTGTGTGTGTTTCGCTGACATGAGCACGACTTGATATTATTTTTACGACATGAGATATTAGGTCTGATGAGTTTCAGTTCTCCATTTCCATCAAAACTATTTAAGATGACAAATAAAATCATGTCCATCAAAGAACTTGCGCGTGAAAATTCAACCATCATTGCTTTTAATTCTTTTGAATTTACAAGTTACATCGGGCGCAGTTAATCACAAACTGGAGTAGTATGTGGGGTCGCGCTGGCGTTTCTTTAATGCCTAGACCATGCACTGAGGCATTCTGGAAGACAAATTTTTTTTTTTTTTTTGGAAGAGATGGCCGACAAAGCTGGCATTAGAGGAGGGAGGATCCCCAGGTTGGAGGGTCATTCACATCAAGATGTGACAGTAAGCACTGTTTTGTTTATTCTTCTTGCGCTCCTCATTTACAAGCCACACGCTCATAAAGACCGTGTCTTGATACTTGCGTCTAGAAATGTTTAACTTCCATCCGTCTTGATTGGCCGGACTCTATTCAGGTCATATTAGGAGGGCAAGAGGTTCAGAACGGGACACAAAATTATCCTTGTGATGTTCGATCCAATCTCAAATATTATACAAATATATATAAATATAATTTTTTAAAAATATATGTATTAAATATATTAATTATATTAATATAATTTATATTTATATTAATTATAATTTTAATGCGATATATATTCTTATTTAAAATTAAATTTTTTTATATTGATAATTTTAATAATATAAAATAAGCAATATATAATAATATATTTTTTATAATATATTAATTATATTAATATAATTTATTTTTACATTCACTTATTTAATAATTTTTATTTATACTGTATTTTTTTGTTTTACTTTTTAAAAGGTCACTAGTTTAATATATTTTAATTAAAGGAGAAAAATGAGGATTTGATGTTGTGCTGAGTTTGTCTGTTATTATTACTCTTATAGATTAAAAATTACTTATAATTGATATCATAATATGTTATATCTCATGTATATTTAATTTTAAGTTATACACTTGTTATTATAATTGATATAATTTAATAATTATTATGATTTATATATTAGTATTGTTTTAATTTTAAATTTAACAATTATGTGATTTAAAATTTTAATTAATAAATATTATTATTTAAATATTTTTTTATATTGTTCGATTTATTGGGGATGATAAAATGTTCCGATTTCACCTCAATCTTATCTTAATTCTCAACAGGTGACTTTTAAAATGAGACGGAATAAAAATTTAGTGCTGATCAGTTTTTGAGATGTGATAGAGGATATAAATGTCTCAATTTCGTCCCGTCCCCTCAATATCCCTACTTTTGTCGTCTAGAAATTCATTTTTTTTTTTTTAGTAAACTCAGGGGAAGAGACGTGGACGGCCAACATTGAAAAGCAGGATCGACTATCATTTGATTTTTGTCAAGTCAGGATGATGCGTGTGATTTTGAACTTGAGCAGATTATTTATATTCGGCGCAGCCCCCGAGCCACTTCATTCATGGCTTTGGTTCTGGAGCTAAAAAACATCGTGGGAAGCGTCAGTGTTCAAGGAGACAACCAGTAACTAACTAAACATTTGCCACGACATGTTTAGTCTAGGCCTGGCTGGATGTGGGAAGGATTCATTGAATGTCCATACATAAATTGTGGAGATACAAAAGCTTCTGGATTTTAAAAAATTACGGAAATGGAATCCATTCCAACGTCACGACCAGGGGCCCACACCCTCCTCAACCTTTTAGGGTGCCAAAAAATCCTTAGTCCCTGTCGTTATTTTTAGCATGACATGGGTTGGCGAAAAATAATAATATTAAGGACGTATTGCTCTAATTATGTTCGTGATAACGGCTGAATGCTTCAAATCTATTTTATCACAATTTTCAGAATGAGTTGAATACCTCATCGTTCCTCTCCATAATCAATCCAAGTTGATTTGTGATACAAAATAAAATACTAATGACTATCAGCAATGGACCAATTTTTCTTTTTTAAAGAAAAAAAAATTTCGCGTTCTTATCCTATCATTTTGACTCTTTCCGTTTACTTTCGTGTTTCTATTTCGCCCACTGAACTTCACTTTTTCATTTTTTTTTTTAGTTCATTGTCCGTGCCTTTTTATAGAAAACAAATAAATCAAATGGATCATGGAATACAGTAAAAATTAATAAATATGTTTGAGTTTTACTTTTTTTAAAAAAGTAAGACACATTGATTGTTTAACATGGTCACTTATGAGATGAGGGTAAAACAATCTCAAGGCACAACAATAATAAAATCTCAAAAAGATAAATTAATGATAGTTAAATTTGTGACAATTTTTTTTATAAAATAAATTATAAGTATCAATTCAAATAATTATAAATATAAATTTGAATTGTAAACTAATTGTTATATTTAAAATTTAAATTTAAATATTATATTTATAATTAAAATGTTTAAATTTGCAACTAATTTAAAAAAAAATTGTCAAAACTTAACTGTCGTTATTATTATTTTTTTTTTAAATTTAACTATCATCCTCCCAAATTTCAATAGATGCACTAGATAATGGGCAGCGGTTTCTTGCAAAGAAAAAATTGAATTGAAGAGGTGAGATGGTGGAAGCTACATCATATAATAAAAATGTGCAAGGAAATGAGTGCCGGGCAGGATCACAACTTCAGGAAGATGATGATGGCAACAATTGCATTCATAAAAGACCGTTAATGTTTGAGCTTTTCGTCGGAACAATCAACTCTTTTATGAACTCAATTTTTTAATTAATTAAACTTACTTAAATTTAATCGTCCCCTAAGGGCCTAGCTGTCTCCCTTCCAGCATTCTTGTTAGTTGTTACCATTCCTTTGTCTCTCTCGTGCCCTGCTCTCCTTTCCCCAATACTCTTTTCTTTTACTATCATTGCCAGTTGAAGCCCTGGCGCTTTCCCACCCAAACCCAAAAGCCACGGCAAATCAAGGGGGCGAAAAGAGCTCTGTGATTCAAGGATTAAATTTAGTCATGATTTTTCATTTAATAGAAATATGATAAATTTTTCCTAATGCTAAACTTAAATATTTTTTTAAAAAATTACATCTATGGAAGTACAGTTACAAAGATGACATGGTATCTATTTTCCTGCTTGTTAACCGAAAAAAAAAAAAAAATAAAAAAGAACGAGAAGATTGTAATGGTGGTACGATTAAAATTGGAGGCCCTTCTCGGCCTCCTCTCTGTCCGTCATCGTCTGTAACAGAAATTGGGATTTGGTGATGGCAATGGAAGGCCGATAATCCGTTGCAGGCAAGGCTGCAATTCGTGTTGGAATTGCGTTGCGATGGTGGTGGGTCATGGAAAGAACCGAGCATTAGAGGATCGGTCGCCTAAGAAGGAGGTGCCGGGCCACCCTCGTTCTTCTACGGCTGCCGGAAAAGCCGTTGCTCGCCGTGGCACGGTAAAAATACGGACGACGAAGACGACTTAACCCTGGCAAATTGGTCAAAATCTCCCAAACGCACCCCTCATTCAACCACGGTTTTCTCTCTTCCCTCTGTTTATTCCCATGATTAAGTAACCAAAATGCATGGTACTATTCATTGTTTGCCTTAAATCTTAATCAGTATTTTGCTCGGTGGAGATTTTAGGGATTAGAAGGCAATATTTCGTTGCAGCGCTTCCATTTCAATTGGGGGTTAATTTTGCTATGCTTTTCCTTTTCCAAGACTTCTCATAAATTCACTTGCAAGAGAATGTCTAGATCAAGCGAACATGAAAAAGGCTTATCTCTAATTAGGTCTGTTTTTTCCAATTTAATATTGATTGCTTGATCCTTACGTTGCATTGTCGGCAGCACAAACGGAACAGGATGGTACGGAATCAATATAAGCTCTTGGGCATTCAGAAAAAACATTCGGATTCTATACCGAGTCAAGTGAGTCCCATTTTTAAAATCCCTTTTCAGTCTTCCTTTTCGGCTCATGGCTGGAAGCATAATTAGTCACCTAGGAACGTCATCTTGCATAACCATGTTAAGTTTTTATGGTCAACGGTTAGGAGGTGATACATTCATGTTTGATATAATGACGACAATAAAAATCAAATATAAAAAATTGTTCACAAGTTATCCATATTGTACGTGCCAAAATTTTGAAAAATGAACCCATGTACATGTACACATATCTAAATCGTAGCTCTGACACGTATTATTTGGCCTTCCTCATTGCTGTTCTAGCTGAATTCTTTGGCATGTTTTTAATCTTTTTCTTAACATTAGGATGATCCTTTTTTTTTTTTATGAAGTTATCTGCACGAACTGCTTTGAAAAATTAAGTATATGTTAATTAAAAAAAAAAAGTCAAGTACATGAATTAAATAGCATTTTTTGGGCCTAAATTACATGGATCATCCTTGTGAATTATAGTCTAATTGACTGAAGATTCTAACAAATGCTGTTACAGGGTGCATCCGATCAGGCACAGCAGCTTGCAAGGTTGGTCGATCACCTTGTATAACATAATTTATTCTGTTCTTCATCTTATCTTCTCAGCTGCTTATTGAACATTGCTACATATCCTTGATTGAAGCTCCACTAAGGTGGCATCAGACAAGACATTATCAGCAGGAGAGGCCAGGTCGTCTGCTGTGTTTCGAGCAGAGATGATCCAATCAAAGTTAGATCCGAGATTCCCTAGCTTTGTGAAGTCATTGGTCAGATCACACGTTGCTGGTTGTTTTTGGATGGTAAGCATTTCAAGAGACTGGAATGAAAACTACTCTCACTGTGGAAACCCCCATTGCATTGTATTTTTAGAGCGATGTCTTCTGTATCTGCTAGGGGCTCCCTGCGTTCTTCTGTAAGAGACACTTACCAGATAATGACACTACAGTTACTTTGGAAGATGAATCTGGTAAAGGATACCAATTGAAATACATTGCTTGCAAGACAGGTTTAAGCGCTGGTTGGAGGCAGTTTTCTGCTGCCCACAAATTGCAGGAGGGAGATGTTTTGGTCTTCCAATTAGTTGAACCGTCTAAATTTAAGGTACATTCTTTGGATTTCTTTTTTCTTGCTCTTTTGATGCTTGTACTGTGAGCTTATGGATTTTATATTTCAATGGCAACATGGGGATTAGATTGCAAAGCAAGAAGGGTGGCACTTATGACCACCTATTCTGTTGTAAGTTCTCTGTGTGAATCATGGACATTTGACGTATAAGGATTAATCACCTCTCGTCAATATGAGATGCTAATAACAACTAAATGCCGGAGGTCAATGTCACTTGGTAGTTTCTATGGGTCCTAGATGTTTTTGTTTCTCTAAGTTGCTGCGATATATGTGATTTGAAATTCATTGACCCTATTTCTTGCTTGTATATTTTTTTTTTTCGTCTTTTATTCTCTTTGATGCAAAAACAATTCTGGGAGAGAGGAGTCATAATTTATCTCTGGTCTCTATGCTCATCTTTTTTGGAACTCATGCCATTTTTCTTTATGCCTATTTTCTAGGTTTATATAGTAAGAGCAAATGGCTTGAGTGAACTGGATGGGGCGGTTTCCCTTCCCAATCTGGACGATCATACCAAGCAAAAAGCAAGAGGCAAGCCTTAGATCTATGCTTCTAGACTCGTGTGATAATCATGAACATAAAAATGTATGCTTTCATGGTAGTATACTAACAATTCTCTGTTTTTGCTTGTGAATAATCTAATATGAAGATAATGCAAATAAGGATGCTCTTCCGAGTAATAGCCCTAAGAGGAAACAACAAAAATCTGATTTACCACCTCCGGTTGTCCAGAAGAAAAAGAAGACTAATGCGTCGAGGATTTCCCCCAAGGTTAGGCAGCGTGCAGAACACTGTGAATATGAAAGTGATGAAGCTGGTTCAGAAGTACTGGAGAGCTTTGGAAGGGAGGTTAAATTCAAGGATGTAAGGGGTTTTGAAAATTTCAGTATCATAGTTGATGGAATTCCAATAGATTCTGAGCTCCCCCATGAGGTTAGAAATAAGTACTACAAACTCTGCCATAGCCAGCAGGCCTTTCTACACGATAATCTCATCAAGGGCATCAACTATAACCTTCTTGTCGGCATCGTATCTGAAGTTGTCAACATTGCTGATGCCCTGAGATCTAGCTCGCTACATATCTCACCCACTGAATTTGCTAAATGGGATAAAGAGTTGCTAGCCTTTGAGTTTTTGGGGATGAATGTGGAATTTTTAAGACACCGGTTATGCAGGCTTGTAAACTTGGCATATGAAACACAAGATGCCTCCGAGACTTCAAGGCATTCGGAGTCCACAGCTGAATTCAGTCGAGCAGATAACGAGATAATGAACATTGAAACAAAGCTGGAAGAATTGAAAGAAGCTTGTGATGGTTTTGGTTCTTATATTGAGAGTTTGAGGTACAAAGGTGGGCGCTTCCATCACTAGTTTTAACAATGAGGTCACTAATCCTTCCTTGGTAAACAACGTCAATCTTTGCCATGTAGTAAAATATTTATATTATAATCCTTCATCTCAAATTATAAAATATTTTTAAAAAAATTTAATATCTCTAAATATAAAACACTTTGACAGAAGTAAGGTTTCATTGATTATACTTTTTTAATATTATCCTTATCATATATTTTTTTTAATATTTTTTTATTAATAAAGTATTAAAGAAAAAATATTTTTAAAAATTTATATTTTTATATTGAAAAAGTAAGGTTGTAAAATATATTCAATGAGTTTTATTAATATGTGAGATTTTATTTAAAGATATTTTATAATTTGAGATGAAAGGAATGTCATTTATATGTACTTTTTTCTTGGGTTTGTAAGTATAACCCCAGCTTCATTTCTTAAAATTGACATGAATTTGATGTCAAACATTCCATCCTCATCATCATCCTTATTTCTATCTCTAATTCGGATCCCCAGAGCATACAGGACTTCTTCTAATCCCCCTATAGAGTTATGCTCTTGAAGAGCTTTCCGGACAATCTCTGAAAAACACTTGATGTTTGTATTTGAGAGTTGTTTACTTATTTGCAGAGTTATAACCAACTTGTCGAGTATATGACGCTAAAAATATTAGGAGCGTTTGATTTTCCCATGCCTGCATCAAGATTGAAGACAACTGCAAGTCGTGGAATATACTTATAACTGTAAAATTTAAGATTTATGTTCTTCAGATCTTAAAGGAAATGGAAGTAGATTTCGGGTGCTTAAATTATGGCAGGAAATTCTACCCAAAAAAAAATTATGGCAGGAAAATCTAGAAAGACTGCTGCTACTAACTCCAAGTTTGACCGTTGATTTATCAACTAATAAGCAATTACTATTATTATATTTTTGAAATAATTAAGCTTCCTTCAGATGTGCGTCTCGCACCAGGCGTCCATTCTGCATTTTTATCTTCATCCTAGCATTTTACTGGTTATTAAAATGAAAAACATAATTTTTTTGTTATTATAATTTTATTAAGTTTTGCTTTTAATTTTTGTAATTTTTTTAATATTTTCAGTCTCTATAAAAACTAAAGCTACTAAAAAAATGAAAGCTATAAAGACTTGAAAAATAAAAGTTATTCAATCTTTTTAAAATTATAAAAATTAAAAAAATTAAAAAAATTACATGAATTAAAAGCAAAACTAAATGAATTATAAAGATAAAAAATTATGTCTTTTCATGTTAAAAGAATGCTACAAAAACATTTAAAATAAAACTTATTTTTATCTTGTTAAATTATATTTTTAATTTTAACTTTACACGTTTTATTTCGATTCCTTAATATTATGAAATGTAGTTTCATTTTTTTAATTTTAACACGGTTAATTTTATCAAAAAAAATTAAATTAAATTTTTAAATATTAATAAAAATATTATTAAATGTTGACTTATTAAATTTAATTTTTTTAAAATAATAATAGATGATATTAAAAATAACCATTTAAAATTAAAGATGTTATTAAAAAATTAAAAATATAATTTATAAAATTAAAGGATTAAATTAAAATAATGTATAAAGTTACGGAGAAGTAAAACTATACTTTAGTGGATTTTATCGTCACCAGAATGAAGTACCTTCAACTGCAAAATAATTTGTACAACAAACAGCCAAAATCCAACTCCTAGGACGAATTCAGCAAAGATGAATCGAAGTTGAAAGCAAAATCCTAACACAAATCGTCGGCTCAATTTGTCTCAACCCGCTAGCGGGGGAAAAAATACCAGAGAACGAAATAAAGAAATGACCTTCACTTTTTCCCTTCCTGTGAATACTCACTTGCAACCGAAGAAAGAAAAAGAAAAACTAAAAATTTGGTCCATCCCTCTAAGAAACACCTTCAACCACGCTTCTATCATATCAGGAACTCGAGCTTCCATCATTCAACAAATCCTGTAACAATACAAAAGTCAAACGACACAAGCTCAAGAGTAAGAAAACACCTGGTAATCTAAGACTTCAAGGAGGAAAGAAAATCTAAACCAAAACAAAGTGACTCCATTACCTGCTGGGAAGTCATATTAACTCGACCAGATTCATTCACTAATCGAGACCTTCTTCCTTCAACTCCTATGTCCGAAGAACCTTCACTTTTATCAGCTTTCTTGGAGCCAAAATGACTTTTTCTAAGACCCATAAATCCCTTCCTTCTCGAGGATGATCCCTTAGGTGGCCTCTGCGACGAATCTTCGTATTCATCATCGTGAAGGAGCTCCTCCCTGAGAGTAGTGGTGGTCCTCTGCATCTGGTTGTTGCGGTCATCCTTGAAGGGCAGCATCCTGCCTTTACAGAAAAGCTCGTCGGCGCTCATCATGGAATAGTTTGTGACAGAAAACTCGAAGTCTGAGGATGCCGGAGCGTCTCTAGAGAGTCTTTCTTGCTTAAGAGCTTGCTGAACATCCACAAAATCGCTCGAGAAGGAGATTCTTGGGCTCATTGGCGTGCAGGGATGACCGTTGTTCTCTGAGTTGTTATACATGTCTAAGCATGCCATGAGACATCAAAGCAGCATATTGAAATTGAAATTTAAACAAAACAGACAAATAAAGGTCCAATAAATTCTAGTCGGGACCTCCTCCACACCTCAGTAGATAGAGGCTATTATTTATATCCAAGAAGGGATCTGGGAGGATCGTGGGTTCTTTTATTTTTTATTTTTTTTCCGCCCCTAAAATAAAATGTCAATTTCGTGGAGGAGCCTGATGACACGATGTTTTGTCATTACTTGTAATAATTGTTAATTTGGCATTCAATGACGACCAATCTTCAAAATATACCGTCTGTCAGTTCCTCCGTTCTCCCTTGGTTGTAAGTTAGCGAACCCACGAAGTTGGTGATCCTTCCTTCTTCCTTCTTCTTCTTCTTTTTTTTTTTATTGGGTTCTTTCTCTTTTACATGGAGGGTAGCAAGCAATTGCAAAGCTCTGTCTTTTTGGGTCAAATCCCTTGTTTTTTCATTTTAATGTTAATTTACTGGTAACTTGAAGTTTTGGGAAGATTCTGAGAACAAGGTCACCTCAAAATCCTATGCACAATAATAAAACGTATACTATTATCCAAATTTTGCTTTTAGTATTTGTTTTGATGGTAGAGGTGGTGGTGGTCACTGGTCAATGGAAATTACACAACTACAAATATATTCTTTTTATGACGGTTGGAAAATTAGTGAAGCTTACCATTTGATGAAGACAAAGCGGCAGCGGTGACAATTGAAGGGGATGGGGTGTTGGGGTCAGTGAGTGAAAATGCTATAAATGAGATTGAGCAGAGTTTGAACGTTAAAGAAGGCTCAAACTCAAACCACAGTGAGACAGAGGCACAGTGGCAGAGTTACAGAGAGGGATGGTGTGGAAGCTAGCACGCTTCATTGACCAATCTTTTGACTCCAAAGTGAACCAAGCAGGGGAATGAGCTGGCGATGCTGACGGATCAAAGTGGCCACGTGACCCATTTCATTAAGAGCTCTTGACATGTTGCCCGAAATAAGAAATTTCAGGACAAGAGGATTTCCAGCGGACAGAAGGTCCTAAACAGGCCACCTAAACTCGTAAGTCGAGAACATGGATAAATAAATTTGCTAGTTGGAGCCATTAATGGGGTTTAAGTTAAGTTCAAGGGTTCCATGCTGTCTATATCGAAAATGGAGTGCTCACATTTACCGTCTATAATGAAGCTTTTTGAATCTGTTTCCTAGTCCCTTGTTCCGAGCCACTCGTGCACTCGCGCCTCGATAATGCGTCCCTGAAGGAATCACGTGGCCTCGCGCAGATTCCTGCACATACTTCTCCATATCACTATATTTAACAGCTTCGCTTTTCACCATCGCACATATGTTTGTAACCTCCACGTAAATTTCCCCGGAAGGCGCAAATTAAACTACTAGTTTTGTACCAACTCTTGTCCTGCCAAACGCAGGCAATTAGGCAGAAAAGAAACACAAGAAGAATCCCGCAGCCTCAATATTGTTAGTTATCGACTTAATGTTTGCAAATTAATGCACCGTGATTCATTTATTTACCTCGTGAGAATCTATATTAAAGGCTGGCATCTTGGTTTTGGGATGGAGAGAGAGTCTCAGTTAGGAGCAGGGTTAGAAGTGAGGTACTTGCTGTTGACAACATGCATGCAGGAAAGGACTCGAGGTCAGAGGGTACGATTGACGAAAAAAATTTGAATTGCAGCCAAAGGGACATGGGCGTCAATCGCGTGGTGAAGCTGCTTGAAGAGGCCTAGGCTAATTAGTTATTACACGCCGGGGGGGGGGGTTCATGGGAAAGCCTTTGAACATGGACCAGTCACACAGTAAATTCTTAAAGAGTACAAGGTTGATTGGGATTGGCCTGACGTTTTGGTCTCCCCTCTTGTTAGCATCAACTTCGATTTTAGTGGCCGTGAGACGACTAATTTAGGCCTCGCTAATTCCCATTTTGCCTCTGCTTTTTCCCCCAATAGGCCAGATGAGCCCCTTTGCCAATGTCAAATCAAAGGAAAGTACGAAGGAACTAGTTGATTCTCTAATTTGGCCGATGCTGCTGCTGCCAGAGTGAGTGAGTTCGATTGGGACTAAATAATTCGAGGGAAGATAAAAGTTCAACTGGGTGGCTTCGACTTGGCCGTTTACTGTTCACTGTTCAGTCACAATCTGAAGAGAAGCGGAAGGGTTGATAAATGCAAATTGGACTCGTAATTGCCATCAATGAAGTTGATCACTGTTCAGGAGAGAAAAGTGTTATTTGTCCTTGATTAAAGCACTGTCGCTCGTTGATGTTTCCCCGACCGACATATTGAAAGAAATGAAACTAACTTGAGAACACGTAGAATCAGCGTGCGGATTACTATTCTGGTACTATGAAATTGCTTGTTTGTTTTTCGTTTAGTCAAACTCATTTTTTATTATTAATTAATTAATTAATTCCCTATCCCTAAGCAGTTCGCCAACATCATCAGAAGCTATGTGCATGATTGTTTCCGTGGGCAAGGCAGGATAGAATAAATAACAACGCCGACTATGACGGGGGATGCCTTTTTTTGTCCTTGCTGATTCCGAAATGAACGCTCCGACTGCACATCAGCAATGTAATGCAACTCGATCTCAAATCGCAAGTCATCTATTGGTATAGTGGCATCAAGACACCTTCAAATAGGTAAGATAGTGAGTTCAAACCGGGCATAAGATTCAAGTAATAAATAGCATAGAGGGTGTTCGAGTGGATTAAAAAAAAAAAATTAGGACTCAGATCCACTCCCTTGTACTAGTATCTATGTCTTGTTTCACTTTAGATGACATTAACGTTATATTTGGATATATATATAAATTTAGATTTGAATTAAATTTGAGCCAAATTTATCATTTGAATAATTAAAAATGTATGAATTTAGATTTGGCTCAAATCTCAATTTTATATTAATTTCTTTGTAATTTAAAATTCTTTCCAAACCTCTATTATTTTAATCATAACTCAATCTCTTTTATAATTTAACCCAAATTTATGAAAAAGCTTGATTGACCTACCAACGTAATTGGACAGACTATCAAAATTGATGGAAACAGCCACCAATATGACTAGGACCAACTACCTGACTTCCACCAAAATTGGACTTACGGTGATAATCGAGACAAGAAGGCTGACTTCTATTGGGACTAGATTTACGACGACCATGGGACCAAACTTCCACCTTCCATCAGGACCGGGCCAATGACGATCATGGGAATCGAATGGCCAAGTTCTATAGAATTGGATCGATAGCAATGATTGAGACCGAACCAATAACGACCACGAGAACAGGACAACTCCTTCCCTTAGGATCAAATCAAGGGCAACCACTGGGACAAGACGGCTGACTTCCATCGTCGTTGCTACTGGTCTAGTCCATTAGATGTTGTCGATCAGTCCTAATGGTCATTGTCTATATAGTCTCGTGAAAGTTAGTCATTCGATCCCAATCATCATCGTCGATCCAATCCCTATGGAACTAGTCGTTCGATCCAGGTGAAAGGCACCCATCCAATTCCCATGGTCACCATCGGTCCGGTCTAGGTGGAAGGTGACCTTCTGGTTCCGTCAATTTGGTCCAAGTGAAAGGTAGTCCTCCTGTCCCCATGGTCATCGTCAATTCAGTCTCGAGGGAAGGTGGTCGTCCTGTCCCGTGGTTTCCAAATGTTCGGTCCCCATGGAAGTCAGTTGTCGATCCTATGTCATCGTCGATCCTATCTTGGTGGAAGTCGATTGTCCAATCTCATCATGCCGTTGGTCTGGCCTCGGTGAAAGTTGGCCATTTAAATGTCAACTTTAATCAGTCTTTCAAGTTTCTTTTAAATTTAAATATAAAATTTAAAATTTAAATTTTTTATATCATCCAAATAAAGAATTAGAATTTATAAATTGCAAATGTGAGATTTTAAATTTGAGATTGTAAATCCAATTTCTAACTTAAATCCACCCATCCAAACACAACCTAAACATATTTGTTCTTTCTAGCAAAAGGATAGCTGCCTTTCCGTTCAAAATATCATTCACTCTACGAGATGACTTTGTGTAGACATTGATCTCTAAATTTTAGCTTTGTGTACAAGAAATAGGATAATTGACTATCTTATTAAGTAGGCTTATAATTTGTCTATTGATTCTAATTTGTTTGACTTACCACCCTTAGTTAGTTTAATCAGTTCACTTGGGTGGTTTTGTTGTTGCTTTTGTTTTGTCCGTGAGCTGACTTGTGTTTTGTGAGACTGTTATTGTTATTCAACTGGGCAACGGTGTAGATTTTTATTTTGAGTTTTATAAACACAGTACGTGTCAGACATCTAGGTAAACGAAAGCCCAACCAAGACAAAATAAAAAAGTGGAACACGCAAATTTAACAAGACGTGCGATGATCTTCCAGACAGAGTTAGATGAGTTTTCTGCCGCTAGTCATCATGTGGTGAACTCCTCAAAGTCTATATAACCATCACCATCTCCATCCACGCCCTTCACCATTTGTATGCAGGCGCTCATGCTGCTGGACTCTCCCAGCCTTTTCAGAACTCGACACAGCTCCTCTGCACTGATCTTCCCGTCACCGTCCAAATCAAATACCTGAAATGCACTCCTCAACTCGCTCTCTTTCACTTTCCCTCCTCCACTGTACATCTCCAGGAACTCCTTAAAGTCGATGAAACCATCTCCGTCAGAGTCCATCATCTGAAATGATTTCTCTGCCTCTTCGTTGGAGATACTCTTGTTTATTGCCTTCATGGCAGCCTTGTACTCTTCCTGGGATATCTTGCCGTCTTTGTTGGTGTCATATTTAGCAAACACCCATCTTAGCTCCTCTGACTTTGGCTGCACGCTCCATCCCGACGAAGAAGAGTCCCGAGTCTGTCGGCTTGATGCTGTCTTGAAGCTGCTGTTTATGGTGGGTGTGTTTTTCGTGGGGAAGATGACGACTTCCATGAGAACCATGTTGAAATTTGAGGAAACTCATGTTCGACATCGTCTCTTTAATTGTTGTGTTGAAGATGGCTGGTACTTGGATCAGTGAGATCAGATGGCTTTATTTATAAAAAGCTCTTGGGTTCCCGTAGCCGCTCCTATAATGATATTTTAAGGAAAGGTGATGGAATCTGATTACGTAGTTGTTATCTATATCTCATCCTGTGGAATCTGATCACGCGTTGAGAACAATTTGTTATCCAGGAATCAAGATGATGGAAGGGATATATGTTGAAGAAGGTTTGAGCGGGATAGGCACATAAAATTAAAAGCGGGATGGTGTGAGTGTGAAGAAGGATATCTCTCTCCACCTTACTCCCCTTGGGCAAGCCGTGTATTCACCACCACCACCAAGACGTAACCTCACTTGGATCGCTTTCATTTTATCCCTTGCCAAGGGCAAAACATGACCTCTCTTTAGGCTGTCGGAAGTGCCTTAGTATATCAGAATCAGAATCCAGTGGTTCTGCCGTAATTAACTAACACAAATCTAGAACGTTTATCCACCCAAGTTGCTCCATGAACCTAATTTCCGTCACTTTCTTGGAATAGAATAGTTTCATTTCAATAAGCCATCTCTCTCTCTCTCTATCACACACACATTCACACTCTCGCGCAGGCACGCACATCATCTTCTCTCTTTTTCTCTGGTTTTTCCGTTTTTGTTTTCGTTCATATCCACAGAAGCTAGACTTGCTTATGTTTACAGCGCCTGATAACAAGGCATGACTATTTCACTTGGACAAAACCCAAACCCTTCTTTCTGGGTCTTCATCGCTCTTCTGTTTTAAAAATATATATATTTTCATTTACAGGTATTAACACTTGTATTGGCGAATAATTTCTGGATTGTTATTTTACTGAAAATCTAACAGTTATGTCAACTTGAAGTTGATACTATATTTTCGAAGGAATTGTTATTTTATCTTTTTCAAAATGATTGCTCTTAGGAGTTTTGGCTTTTTTTCAAAATGTTAGATTTTTCAATGAAAAATTGATTATTTTTGTATCATTTTATCTCCCGTTAATTTTTTTTAAAAAGGAGAATAACATTTAAAATCATCTCAAGAAAATTATTGCAATAAAAGCCTATCAATATTGTATCAAATATTATCATATAAAAACATATATATTATTATTAAAAGTTAAACTTTAACTAGTTAAATTTTTAAGAAAACTCTAACAAAAAAAAATACAAGCTAAAATTCAACTTCTAATAAAAATATATATTTATTTTTCCAAAATAATATCACATGCAAAATTAATAAGCCATTGTTATATTAAATTTTTTAAGAAAACCTTAAATGTCATTCTTTCTCAAAATAAGGGTAGGTGAAGCTCATCTATAAGGCTATGCAGAAGTTCTTTAGTCTTGTCTGGTCTGTCCAATTTGAGACAATCCAATTCAATTCGATCCAAATAAAAACTAATATTTCAGGACTAAAAAGGCCAGACTCTTCCTTCAAGCTGGACTAGACAAGAGACCAAGTATATGAATCACTTGGTTTGATATAATCCTATAAATTTATTTAATATAATTATAATTAACTTATTAATTATTATTACAATAAGTTATTTCAAAATAATTAGTAATTTTTTGTACTTTATACTAGTAGAGCCATAAATATTGGGCAAACCTCCAACATTGACCAATTTCAATCTTCTCCATTTATTAGTGAAATTTATTATTTACTTGATATAATGAACTTTAAATATATTGAAAATTATTTAATGCTATTAAAGGTTGTTTAATTTGAACCATTTGGTTTTGTAATTGAAATATTTTTTATTATTGTTGTAGATTTATAATTGTTGTTGCCATAATAAATTTTATATAACAATAAATAATTTTATTATATTAAATGAGTTTATTATGTTAAAATAAATTACTGTGCTTTTCATAAATGAAAAAGGAAAAAAACAAATTAAGATACTGGATAAAATCAAAACCATTTCCTAATACTATTAAACCAATTCGATCCTGTTTAGCTTCAAGTTATATTAAGATCAACCAAACTACAAATTGCCTACCTCAATTTTTTTCATAAAAAAGACCAGACTTTGAATTGGACTAAAATCCTGTCCGTCACTCCTTTGTACAATCATACTCATATGTATTACCAGATGATGCAGCGCATTCACATTCCGTGTTGCCGAAAAAAAAGAAGGTACCGATAAATAAAAAGTTGCCATGTAATGGAAAGAACCATGTAATTAATATTCTCCTTTTCTTGTTAAAAATTTACATATCCACAATAAAATATAAAATCTATACTTATCTATTAAAAAAAGCTGCATTGTCCATGCATGGTGAAATATGTGATTCACATTAGACTCCATATCAAACAAAGATCCATAACTATTCTCTAATCTAATTATCCTAAAATTAGGATAAGATATGTGAATAGTGGTCCAAATTTACTCTTGTTCTTGGGCAAAATTTACTCTTGTTCTTGGGAAAAAATATTCAGCAACCAAGAAATACAGATACCCACAATTAAAGGCTATTGTGAAATAGTATAAAAATATTGTACAAGTTGATGATCGTATCCTTCATGCATTACCAACAACTCACAAAAGCTTCCAAAGATAGCGCTTAAGTTTTTAAACCTTCCAGTGGAGCAAAAAGTATCATACCGTCAGCTGTCTTCTCGCAATGCTAAAGACAAATGCTCACAAAATATCAAGAATCTGCAACATGTTTAGCATTTCTGCGTATAAGGCCAACTAGAAAACCAAGTCTTAAAAAACTAGAAAACATAGGACTAAACGTAAAAAATAAAACACTATCTTCTTAGTTGGTTTTCAACTTTCAGGTTTCCCCAATTTAACAATTAAAATAAAATGGCCAATTTGGTAGAGCCGTAAAGGTTTATCCACATGTAGGAATGTCAACTCGTCTTGATGAACTCAAGCTAGTCAACCAAGATTTACTACACATACCTGCATGGGCATCTCTTGTATGCCAATACCACTGCTTTCTTCAATGCTTTTGAGAGTTACCACTTCACCACCAACGACCATATTGATGACCTCATGCATTACCAACAACTCACAAAAGCTTCCAAAAACTAAGTTTTTAAAAGGAGCGCAAAGTTCATACCTCAGCAGTTTCCTGCAAAGACAATGCTCACAAAATATCAAGAATCTGCAACATGTTTAGCATTTCTGCGTATAAGGCCAACTAGAAAACCAAGTCTTAAAAGACTAGAAAACATAGGACTAAACGTAAAAAATAAAACACTATCTTCTTAGTTGGTTTTCAACTTTCAGGTTTCCCAATTTAACAATTAAAATAAAATGGCCAATTTGGTAGAGCCGTAAAGGTTTATCCACATGTAGGAATGTCAACTCGTCTTGATGAACTCAAGCTAGTCAACCAAGACTTACTACACATACCTGCATGGGCATCTCTTGTATGCCAATACCACTGCTTTCTTCAATGCTTTTGAGAGTTACCACTTCACCACCAACGACCATATTGATGACAACTCCATCTGCACATTTTTGAGCAATTTTAGCAACCTACAGAAGTCCAAACTACCACTACACTTAACAAAAACTAAAGAATTTGGCGTTTCAAAGGACCAGCTGCCAAACAAGTTGCCATGCGCCTCATATATGTTTCCTGCAGGAAGCACAAAAATTTTAAGAGAAAATAAACGCAGAATCCATTGGAGAAAAAAACAATGTGATGTAAATACTCATAGAAATGACTTCCAATGCACACAAGCCACGTTCTTTCACGATGCAAAAGATGGCATGCAGCAATGATGGAAAAAGACAGACTACTACTCTTCAGAAAAAGGACCAAACCTTCTTTGTTGGCAGTTCATAGTTAATCAGAAGATGGCCAGATACTGGAGATTCCCCAGAAGCAAGGACAGGAAGACATGCATCGGTTACAACTATCATATGAGACCTTTGCTCATCTTTCCCATCCTCATCCTCATTTTCTGTTCCAACATGGTATACCTGGTTCCACCTTGCAGTCACTTGCTGAAATTTCTCTAAGATAAGAGCACGTTCTGCTTCAGCAAGGTCACTATACTGACATGCGCAAGTAAAAGAAAAGGATCATAAAGCAATGGATGGGCAAATATAATAGCGTTCAGTAACATAATGATCCAAAAATCTAGCATCTGCAAACAAGAACTGTAGCCCAAAGGGTCAACAAGGCATGCAGAATGGTGCCTCAAAAAACCTCAAAGAAAATATTGGTCAGTTGAAAACACAAGTCCCAGCAAACAAATGATATTCATAAAGCATACTAATAATCATCTGAAACATAGATAAAGAAAGCTAAACAACAATTAAGTTAAACTTCAGTTCACACCAACAACTCAGTTTTCATCATCAAATAAACGCATTTTACAAATAAAGGACTTCATATTTATTAAAATACTTGAGGGATAATCTTGTTGCAAAAATGAAACTAGTCCACTTAGTCCATAATTATATTGTGCAAACTAGGAAATTGGATACTGCACTGCAGATATAACCAGTAAGAAAGCGAATACAGTAAGCTGACACCCAAAATGAAATCCAACGTACGGCTGAGAAAATTCCAGGAACGGTCGTTTAACACTATTATCAAGGGTAACACAATAACCAGGAACAACAGCAATAAGAAGGTGCCAATTATATGCCACGAAAACAAGGGAGACTGAAGCCGTGATTACTCCAACAATATATGAACTGCTATTGTTTTTTCATCAACATTTAAAAAAAAAAAACCAATATTTGTCACCACCAACCGAAGTGGAGGCGGAGAATATTGTAATGATGAATTCCCCAAATAAAATCTCAACAAAAAAATAAAAATAAATAAACATTACCAAGACTGACAAAGATATAAAGGGGAGGCTGGAAAAGGTGGAGCAGACAGAGTCAAGCTCATCGCGAGTACTGCAACAGACTACAATGGGCAGGCGTGGACGCCGGCCCACCAAACCCAGCAAATCCTTCAAAGTTTCCTGAAAGATCGTTCTATTGTCTTATACGTAGTGTTTTCAATTGAAAGGGGAAAACTTGTATGGTTTTACGAAACTAAAATGACGGGGAGGAGATAAGGAGAGAAACCATCTTGAACTGTAGCCTATCTACTGCAAGATAAAAATGGCGCGACTGGCTGAAAGGAAAAAGAAAGCTTTAGTTTTCAGGATAATTGTAGGAGAAACCTATAATTGCAATAATTGACCAGAGCAGAAGAAACAAGGAAGCACAAGAGAGGGCAAAGTAGGAGAATCGATGGAACCTGGAATGGCTATTCTGAAGGGGTGGAACCGGAGCTTCAACAGCGTCCATGGCCATCGTCTCCAAGCAGACGATCCGGCGAAACAATGTGCCGACGTCCTTATCGCGCGATCTATGTCCAAAACAATTGTCACACAACGAATTGCAAAATTAACAAGAGAAGTAGGATTATCTTATGGCAATTCCGTAATTGTAAGAAACTGAAATTCAATTTATTTATCGATTCATCCACGGAGACGGCACAGGCCGTGTATAGTGCCCCCCGTCCATTTTATTAATCACCATTTGAAGAAATAAAGCGAATCACTTCATAAATTATGAGATTGATAATAAAATAAAATATTTAAATTATTTTTTAAAAGTAAGAGAGAAAGAAATAAAAAATAATATTATATAATTTATTTACTTTTTGAGTATTATGTTTATAATTTTATTAAATTTTATTTTTTTATATTTTTATTATTGTATTGATTGAGGAGTTGATAAAAATAATTTATAAATAACATCAAAAATTATGATTGAAGTTTTTTTAAAAAATTGAAAAAGAAAACGAAATAAGCATTTAAGTTAAAAATAATAGAAGGATTGTAGCAGCCAATCAGCCAGGGAAAAACGAATAAAACACTAGTGTATAACAATTTGTTATATCTGTTTAAATTGATGGTTTATAATTTTTAAAATATCAAAAAAATATCCATCTTTCTTCGTTGCATACACAATTCTAAAAAGAACAATTCTAATAATTTGTTGGGAACAATTCTAGAGACAAATTGGACCAACTAGTAGTCCATTGAAACCAAACCGAATCAAACACACCTATCATTTAAAAATAAAAACATTTTTTGAAGAATTAAATGTTAAAAAATATAAAACATTTTTATTCTTTTAAAGCATAATCATTATCTTTTTTTTTTAGTGCCACTATTAATGCTGACTTTATATTTATTGTTGAGTGTTTAATAGGAATAAATATGGAAAGATAGAATTAGTTTGAAGTAGGTAATTACTTTATCGGAGGGTGAGATTCGACTAAAATGCCTTACACTTTTGAACGGATAGAGTAATTGGTTTTTGTAAAAATTGATTTGGTTCGATTTTATTTTCAATTTGCTTGAGGTCTGAATCATGCTTCAATACATTTATTTAATTTTTTTTAATTTTTTTATCTTCATAATGTATTGTATTCGTATTATCTTAGATTTCTTTTGAATTGATGTATGGATCAGTAGCTCTTTTATTTATGGAATCCTTATTTACCTCATGCTTCATTTTAATCATATTTATGGAAGGTTCTTGATTAATCTCATATCTTATACATACATATTCATTTTTTTTTATTTTATTTTTATTTTATTTTTTTATTTTCTTGCTTGGTCTCAAATGAATCAAGGATAAAAAGGTATATTCATAATATATCAACCTTTTCATCTCATCTCTTCATTTTGTTGTCCTTATGTGTATCTTCATAATCTCATTAGTTTCCCCGTGCCGCCCAATATATATATAATTCAAATTAATTTATGATTTCCGACAATAAAAAATAAAAATAATGATTGTGATCATCTACATGATTATATTATATGCACTATTTGAATTTTCATGAAGAAAACTTATTACCTAATAACAAATAGCAAACATGCAAATATCTCAAGTTTGAACATCCAAATATTATGCTATTTAATATTAATCCTTATATTTATATATGTATTCAAAATATAAGATTCATCTCTCAAGTTATTATGACTTCCACTTAAACTATACCAACTATTTATTATCCAAAAAAAATTGATATATATTTAATTTTAACTTGTCCTGGAACAAAAGAGACATATATATGTTTGAAATTATTTAAAAAAAAAAAAGATGTTGGGTTAAGGGAAATTCTGCTTGTACTTCTAAAAACTAAAACGCTAATAATTGTTGGGATTAGATAAATATTTTATAAATAGGTACTATTTTTTTTTATCAAGTTTAGGTTCGATTTTTAAAGCTCAAAACTGAAAGATGAGCCAAATCAATGGATTTCTATATCATAAAAATCAAAGTAGACTTCATTGATGGTCGTTCCTTTCAATTTGATTTGGTCCTTTCCATTTGAGTCCGTTTTAAATACCCTCAGAATCAGTTAAGAACTCAAAATCAAGTTGGTTGAATCCATCTAATCCCTGGACTTGCAGATACAGAACCATATAGTAAATTCATTACATAAACAAGTACATTCAATCTTCAGTTGCATCACGATGACTAGGTGATAACTTGTACAATGGTAGTATTTGCTGAAAAGCTAAAAATAGAGGGGGCCATCGTTACTTATTCTTATTCACAGGTAAAATACGATCACAATGGTCTCCAACATTTTGCGGCTTCTGTTCGATATTGATTATCTATTGTTCTAAGCTTTAATTACTGATATAATAATTTTACAACTTTTACGCGGCAGGCCGCTTGGATATTATTAGTAACCATAGCTAGTTCTCTTCATCATCCTGATGAACTCCTCTTCACTCACCTCCCCATCGCCTGCACATTTTAACCCAAAATACCTCGTATCACTGACATACAAAGAGAGTATTAAAATGATCGGAAAAACATATACAATAACTTTACCATTTAAATATTTTAAAAAAGAAAGGAAAGAAAGAAAGAAAAATACAAAAGAAGGAAAGGAAGCCAATCAAAAGAAACAATCCTGACAAACATCGAGAAGGCCAGGAAATCACTGGTGCAATGATAACCATTAGCTTTAAGATTACGATTATTGTTGTTCCTTGATCATATTATGAACACTTCCGCCATACTTTGCCACTACTCACCAGGGTGTCTCCCAAATATTTCGCTTAAAAAAAAAAAAAGCAGTAATGGTAAAGCAGAACCCAGCACGTACACACGATAAATCATGAAAATATATGCATTTATTTTCAACGCAGAAACAATCAGAGCAACACGAAGGCATTTGTTAATAAGACCTATTTAACACCCAGGCCAAAAGAATGACCCATTTAACCGCAAAGACCAACTTGAGCAATGAAATGACACATTAACGTCACTAATCTAAGAAAATTGCATCGCCTATTTATATTACATAAATCATCAATATTATATCTCAGTCTTATTCGCCAATGAAAACACATGTGCAGTTGGATGAGGATAGTTGACCTTCTATAATTTGAAATTTTAATCATGTTATTATATATATGATATGGAAAACTTACGATCAAGGTCTGCTTCCTCAATCATATCCTGAATATCTCTAGTAGTAAAACTTTCACCTAGCTCTTGTGCAATGTTCTGAATGTCTGCTGTAGATATCTTCCCCTGCATGGACACTAAATGAGGGGTCAAAAAAGTGGAGGAGGAGGAGAAAAATCCATAGAGATCATGCGTACAAAGCAAAGAACTTCACATTTCCATCTTTATCAATAATCTGGAAAGCTTTCATGAGCTCTTCCCTCGTGTCCCTTTCTCCAATTTTGGCTGTCATCATGTACTCGAACTCTTCATATTCAATTGCTCCACTGCCATCCTTGTCCACATCTGCTATCATTTGATTTTGCTGGAATGACACAGGGATCAACTTAGAGATGCACACAAAATTCTTAAAAGAAGAAGAAGAAGAAGAAGAAGAACGCCATCCAAGATCCAAAAATACTAAAAAAAGATATACACAAACCATTGACACCATTCAGGCAAAACACACACCACCACCAATCATATTACCATAGACATCATAAAACTAGATTACATCATATTCATAAGCAACAATTTGGGAGACCATAGCTCTGATTAAGTGGAACAGCTGACAATGCCAAAAGTATGAAAGAGAGCAGGGTGAGATAGGCATCACAGGAATGATAGAGAAGGACATAGATGCCTCTTTTCCTCATTACAAAGGCCAAAAACTCATTCCCTTGGCCACAGCCTCGTAACGAGCAAATCATTGAATGCACCATCCCATCATAATTAACAAACACCACACACGGAGTTCAATGAATGTAGTGGATATAGATTACCTCTTCTGTCATCACAAAACCAAGGGCCCTGTCAAAATAAGATGTATGTTATGGGCATTACACGGCTGGTTGTGATGACAACGCTTTAGAGTCTTGAATAAGAATCATACCTCATGGCAACCTGCAGTTCCTTGGCATCAATGGTCCCTAAAAATCATCAAAAAATGTCATAAAAAATATTCGAAAATCAAAAGAAACTCAATTTTGATATTCGAAGCATACAAACCTGAGCCATCCGTGTCAAATAGATCAAATGCTTCCTAATCTCCTGCTTCTTCTGTTGGTTCAACCCAATGGCGTCCTCTAGGTTTCTGAAATCTCTTAGATTCCCCTCTATATATTGGGCCCTGATACAGAATTCCATTTAGTTAGCAAATAAATAATGATTACTCAAAATTGATTCTCTTTCCTTAATCAAATATGCCTCGGCCAAAGAGGCATCTTCTTACACAGGTCCCTGAGGACGTCATACTTCGGTAACATTCCCCTATGATGTTAGAGATGCCACCATCTTTAAACCTGCTATTCTTTAATTTTATTTTTAAGAATTGATGCAAGGCCAATTAGTTCGCCCCGCAATTGCATTGCAAAGGGTCAGTGGGATGAAGAACATCGTTAAAACTCCCATTTGATCGGTCTTTTTTTTTTTTTCCACCACACTTAATTTCCCTTGTTTAACCTTCTCAACAACTATATTTTGTTTAAACATTCCCATTTCACAAATGCTTATAGAATTAATAAATTGATAATGAATAAGTTTTAATACCAACCCTGCTAGGCTTATCTCCAATCAATCATCTTCGCAACGGACAGATTAGATTATCTAGCAACTAAAGAACAGACAGTTTACCCCCCAAAAAAGGGTAAAAACATCATTTTCAGGACAAGCCACGGGTTCAACCAAATTTCATTAAGCAGGACGGAAGCCGCCTGAATTCAAAAGGTGTTAACTCACCAGAGAGGAGGAGGGACACTTACCATCCTCGACTAAAAGTTTCCCCGTTGTAGACTTCGAAGAAAGAGAACGACCTAGACAAGATGATCGGAGCGCCTGCTTTCCCAAAAAATCAGATGCGCTTCGTGCGGGGAAACTAAATAGTATTTCTTAATTATTTTTTTTATTTTTATGAGTCGATATTTTAAAGTAAAAATTTGAAGACTTTCTAAAAACTAAATTTAATTAAAAATTATTAGATAAATTTTTTATTTTTAATATCTTTATGATTCATTTTTAAATTTGATGAGTGAGATAATTTTGATGAGTTTAGAATTTTTTAGGTGATGAACTTATTTTTTGATTAATAAAATATAGAAGCTTTGATTTTTACAAGTGTCATCTAAAAGGAAAATATATTGATGTTGTACGTATTAATAGACACCAAACAAGAGAAAATTTTATATACATTGGATTGAATCATGTTATTTATAATCTGTTAAAAAAATATAACATTAAGATAATAATAAATATAATTCTAAACAGTAAATAACTATGTATGATTATAATAGAAATATAATAACAATTATGTTTTCCTTTGATATTATGTTTTTGATGTGTTTTATAATTTTTATGTGTGTGTGTGCATGTAGCACAAGATTGCAGACATGTAGTCCCTTCAATTCTATTATAATGCGCCTTTTAGAGAGTTTATTTAGTCTTATTTATAAGTTATGATACATCTTTTTAGGTCATATTTGAAATGTATTTTTAAAATTGTCCTTCACGAGAGAGAGAAAATAACATGACATCACTTTTGAATCTTATATATGATACATTTAAAATTTTACACACTTTTATTTCTTATATTTTTTTTACATTAATATTGATGAGATTGATAGAAATAACTTAGAAATAGAACGAGGGAGTATACTATTGTGTTTCTTTAATGAGTCATGCAGTATCCCTTTGTTAAAGTGTTTTAAAAAGAAATCTTGAAAATCTGCCAAAAGCCAGGGTTCATGCTTTTTGTCCCCTTCAGTTCTTTCTTAACTATTCTTTTGGTCTCTTGTGTTGCGATTATGTATTGATAACGGCGAAAGTCATTATAGTTAGCGACCACCTAATAGGTACACATCTTTATAAGTAGTAGAAGCTAGAAGATGAGCCAAATAATGAGATAGATATATAAATATCACAATCATACAAAAATGAGATAAAAGTCTTAAATTCATTCGAAGGAGAAATCAACCGCGACATATTTAAGTTGAAATCAAATGATGGTACTGCTAGTCTTATTGTAATATCATTTTTTTACAAATTTGGAATGTGATTTTCTTGCATAAACTGCAATCATTTACCTAATGACAATAAATTTGCAACATAGTTTGCAACAATGAAATTTAATTTCTTGAAAAAATTCAACACATAAAGATGGACAAATCAATTTGAAGCTAGTCATTAAATAAATGATTAAAATTTACCAGAATATTTGCAATTTATTTACAAAAAAATTAATATAATATTTTTAATAGATATTTTCAATTTAATCATTAAATTTAAATTAATTAAAATTTAATTTTAGGTATAATATTATTGAAATTTATTTAAAAAAATTGACATAATTGAAAATGTGTTTAAAACTTTAATGAAAAGGAATTAAAAATAAAAAAGACAGAAAATGGAAAAATAATATATTCATATACCAATAATTATTTGCAATCCAAGTTAAGGCAATTTAGTTCCAATCATTTTGACGTAATTAAAATCAAATAATACATTCGTCATGGATTGATTATTCAAGAATTTTGCAAATTGAATTAGCTTCATAATGAATAGATTTAAATTCAAAATTAGAATTTAAATTTAAGGAGGAAAAATAATATGTTCACAGTTATATAATTGCATGTGATACTAGAATGTAATTGATTTCCAATAGCTTTTGTTCATGTTTAGATATTGATTAGAATCAATTATTTAGATCTAAATCATGGTTTTGGTTAAAAAAAAACCCAAATACTTTCATTTTTTCGTAATCAATTACTTGAAGCAAAACTTCATTTTGCCTTAAGCTCTGAGAGGCAGCTTATCAATTTCAATTTTTTTGATTAACTCCACTTACAATGTGTCAAATTTTTTAGTTGCCAATCACACGCACATACTCGCGTGTCGGATTTAACATGATACTAAATTGATGACTCGTTAATAATAAAGTTTTTATCCTTTAATCATAATTAAGATGGATTCAAATATTTCATTTCTATTTAAAATGTATTTATGACATTCATCAAATGATATTTATATATACTCATTACCTTCAAAAAGTTTATACGTATAAAAATCTACAGTGATGCAATGAATTTGTTAATTATTATAATAGATGCTATATTTAATTTGATTTGAAATACCACCTTTCAATTAGATACTCCCTCTATTTCAAAAATATAAAGCATTTTTAACTAAATTTTACCTCCAATAAAGTAGTTACCTAATTTTCAACTAATCCTATCTTTTTATATTTACCTCTATTAAACACCTACAATAAATATAAAGTCATTTATCAATAAGGACACTTAAAAAAAAGTAATAATTACACCTCAAAAGATTAAAAATATTTTATATTTTTTAACATCCATTACTTAAAAAATGTTTTACATTTTTTAATGGAAGGAGTATGATTTTTTGAACCTAAGAAAATTTCCCTCTACCTATTGATTATAATTAATACCAGTTATTGATATCAATTAAAGAAGAGTCAAACCAACAATTTTTTCCTTTTGAAAATAAGAGAGCCAAAATTAGCATTATTATAAACATTATTCTAGTAAATGTACAAAATAAGTAATTTATTCATTCACGGTGGCTTAACTTGAGAAATTCATGGAGAGCACAGCATAAATGCATAACATTTCAGCAATTTTAATTATACACCTTTTGTGATGCGCGAGATGTGTTCAATTTTAATACAAATTAATAGTACATAATTATTAATATATTGTACAATATTTTAATTGCGGCTCGCTGATTCAATAATGAGTTTCGTTGTTGCTGGCTGGTTTAATTGAGCATGTTGATGAGTACTTTGCATTAATTAGTTATCACTTGTTATGGGTGAGGGAGCCAGACAGCAGGCCTAAAAGACCAAAAGGAACGGGTGTGATAATAATAATCAGCCCAAAAAGCAATGTTCATGCTCTTTACATTGTTATATATAAGATATTTTTAATTAAATTTTAGGTATCAATAAAATTTTATTATTTAATTAAACTCATATAAAAATATAATAATTTTTTAATTTTATCTCTAATAAATCATAATTAATGTCATAATGATGGTAGGAAAGCATACGTTTAATGATTTATTTTATTTTTCAAAACAAGAGTAAAATTATTTAATTATTCAAAAAATTATTGTCACCTCTTATATTTAAAAAAAATAAACTTTTAAAAAATATCTTATATATTAAAATGAAAAGAGTATCATATTTACGGCCCCTTGCAAATAGTTCAGCGATTTGGAATTCCAAAAACCAAAACGAACCTCGGTCATTCTTATTACTTGGAAGGAAGTGGTTGAGGTGCTATAGTATTAATTTAGAACCAACATCAGAGTATGAGCTTGTCAGTTTTGACGTTAGTGGTGCTACATGGCTCCGATTGTGATATCACAACTCTTCTTTCAACATTCAAATCTTCATCCAAGATACGGTTCTTTTAGTTCTGGACTTGGTACGAAAAATAGACAAAAAGGCCATAGTGTGGAGATTGGTGAGAAATAGTAGCGGCCTTTGGCGTGGATGGTCTGTTCAGCTAAGGGCGTAGGGCGTGTCGCGACTTTCAAAGATTGCTGTGGTTAAAATATGTACTTAATGGGTTTAAGATGCTATCTCCTCTCGTATTGAGAACACATCAGAATATACTAAATTCATACATTATTATCTACACGCAAGCCTTTACCACTCAAGTACCATAGCGAATGAGAGACCCCCTGTGACCTCCATTTCTACTGCACTATCTGGCAATCGTAAATCCTTGACAGATTATTCAAATTGACAATCGTAAATCCTTGACAGATTATTTTAAATGCCTTGGCATCTACGGCAGGGGATATTAATCATATCACCTCAAAATTTAGAGGTGAACAAATTAAACCAGGTAGAAATTGAAATTATGCAGCAGTTGAGGGTGAAGCCTGTGACCTTCTTGGCAACACCCACTAAACTCGGTGTTAATTCTGTGATATTGTCGACAGAAAGAAAGAGAACTTGAGTTGAGGAGCAGAGCAGAGAGGTGATTCATCAGTTGCAGACCTCTTGCTGCTCTCCATCATCACGGGGGAAACAAAGTCAACAGTCTTGAGCTGCTTATTAGAAATAGAGCCACTGCAAGCCATCTGGTCTTCGCGGCCTCTCTTGGGGTTGGAGGCGCTGCTTCTGCTAACGTCCAACCTAACTCCAAAGAGTTTCAAGCTTTCCCCACCAGACCCCTCCCCTTCACCTACCGCGTTTTCGTCGTCATCTTCGTCTCCGTGTTTGCGACTGGACCCACTACTTCCTTGCCGCATGATCCGATGGATCTGATCCGGCCCCATCTTCACGTGCTCCTTCAGAAAACTTATCAGCTCCTCGCACTGCTTCTTCGCCTGCGCCAGCTCCCAGCTCAGTATCTCGTTATCCTTCCTCAATTTCTCGTTCTCCCCCGATAAATTCGCCATTTGAGAACTCTCCACGGTCCCCAGATTCTTCGAATCTGGAGACGAGGTCGAGGTCGATCCCATGTCGTCCCCGCCGGAGTTGGAAGTGGCGGGCGCCGATTGGATCACGGGTTTCCGACGTTTGATCTCCGCCAACAGTTCCTTCTGTCCTCGTTTGAAATATTCGTTGGCGAATTCCCATTTGTCAGGAACGATCTTCCGGAATCCCTGGAAAGCACCCCAGTTTATAATTAGCTGCCAATAATGAACGGTAATTGAAATTTCTCGTCACTCGGGCATGAAACCTGAGCCGTAAATGTCCAGACGATGCGGCCCTACATGTGCCAGTTCACCGTGTTCAATGCACAGTGGGCAAACAGACGGCACAACTACCGTTAACGTCCGGGCATCTAGCTATCTATTAATTAATCGAGTTTCCCGTCTCTCGAAGGCAACGATATGTGAATAGATGGATTTTCATTCACAAGTTAGATAATTTGGTTTGTTTCAATTATAAAAATTCATTTAATTTGAGATACTATCAAGTAGTAAGCGTTATTCTGTTGGCAAAAGATATTCAAGATTTCACAATATGCTGCTAATTACGTTGTATGTTCATTAATCATTACTCTATTTACGCTTTTGTAAACATCTTTTACGGAAAGTTAAGATTCTGGGAGAAAATCGTCAGGGAAAATTTTTTTTGACGTAACGCACATTTAGGCTTCTGTCTGGAAAGATAAAATAATTTTGCACTGATAGGCCACCTAACCCGAATGCCATGACATTGCTTGCCATCAAATCCTATGTACTCTTGCCCTCTCTCTCTTTGACCGGCATAATGCATATGCAATATTTTCCTATTTCCGGTGCCAGGAAAGCCGAAGGCGCATACCCACTGCCCGGAGGAGAGAGAACCCAATTTATTAATTTCACCAAATCATTTCTCAAGTTAAACCAACATGGCATGCATTTTGAAGGCACGTGGATATCGCTTTTGGTTTTAAGATGACACCATGGATTCCTAACTCCGAAACTCATCAATTTTATTCCCGTCTCTGAATAAATTAAGATAACATTAATCTCTCATCACTGATGGATCTTGTGTTTGTCGAGAAAGTTAATTGGAAACTCAAACGCAGAGCAAGAGATTTCAAGCCGGAAAATCAAAAGGCTATATCAAAGAGTAAATAAGCGACGAACTGAAAAATGAGGAGACACCGGAGAAAAAGGGCCGGGGAACATACATAGGTATTCAGCTGGCGCACGAAGCTTGAAAAGTTGTTGTGCTTGAAGTAGTTGGGAAGCAAATCCTTGGCAAAATCCGCATGCTTCCACACCACGAACGTGTTCCCACTTTCACCCCATGATACGACGTCGTCGGTGGCCGGATCATCCACCAACTGGTACGTCTTCGTCAGAAACGGCGTCGGCACCGTTCTCTGCGACGACATTTCTCCCGATCTGTCGCCTCTCCCTTCACTTCACCCACGTCTATTATCTACTCTTAATTAACTTGATAATGAAATAAAACAAAGAAAGAAAAGGCAGCCACGCAGAGAGAGAGAGAGAGATCCAGTATATGTATGCGCTGCTAGTATGCCTTCCCTTGGGAGGAACAACTAAAAAGAAGAAGAGCGGTCAAGAACTCCCAGCCCCAGCAATAAAAGCCAGAAAAGAAGAAACGAGATTGAAGTGGGCGACGATCGGAATCCATGGATCCAAAAGGATCAGGCGTTGTTCAGATTGGGTCACAAGTATCATGACCGGACTCTTGCATAACTGAAACAGAAACAACCCTGGTGCTGTAGTAAGTGGTGCTGGGCGCCACCCTCTTCTTCTAATATAGAATGTCCGTACCACCCCCCGAGGAAGAGAGCGTGTCGTGGGTTCTAGAAATTTGGAGAAGCACGATCATCTCCAATTCTCCATACGCAACCCACGCAATTCGAATTGGCCCCCACTGGCCTGGCCCCCCAACTTTAGTTTAATTTTCAAAAGCCATGGCAGAGATGGAAAGAATACGAGACTCTTTCAAAGAAAATCACACGCTTTATTCGACGAAGCTTCTATTACATTTCTACGTGGAAAGGGGCGCCTAATTTATTTGGTTTTTCCTAATCAAGAGGGCGGGACTTCTATACTATTTTATATATAAAAAAAAAGGATTGATGTAGAGTGTTAGGAATAAAAATCAAACTTAAAAATTTATCCATTTAAATTCATTTATATAAAAATTTAAATTTAAAAAAATTAAGAAAATTAAACTTTTAAGTCTAATCTTGAAAATACGGACTCATGCAATCTTTTAGACTTTTTTATTTTTTCCTTAAAAATAAAATATTTTTAATTTTTAAATTGAATTTAAACTTTAGAATGTATATTTATACTTTAAAATTAAAATATTTATTATTTATTTTTAATTTGTAACAATTATAATTTTATTTTAAAAATATATGAAATATTATAATTAAAAATTTTAATTTTTAAACATTTTAAAAAATATAAATAATAATAATAAGGACTTACGGGCCTAGCTTTGAACCCTTTATATAAGGATCTGGCTTTAAAAATGAGGTATTTTAAAAAAATTGGGCTTACGGGCTTGAATCCTTAAGGGCCAAGCCTGCCCATTTCCTAACTCTACAGGTGTGCCTCGTCTGATTTAATTAAGAACAACTATTTTTTCTATAATTTTTTTGAAAAATGAGTAATAATCAAGTTATGATTTCATAGTCACGTTTGAAATTTAAATTAAAAATTTTATTCATAATTTAAATTAAAATTTTTTAATTTATAATTGTTCATGCGTGAATAATAAATACTAAATGTGCCAGAGACACGAAATCTTAATTGATAATAAAATGATCTCGAGCTTTTTTATCACAGTTTGCTCGAATGTAAAAAGATACAAGACTTTGATAAAACAACTGTTTGATTTTATTGAAATATGAGAAACTACAAGTCCAAATTAAAAATTAACTGATAAACTTAAAGGCTAAAAAGTATAAAATGGGAGCCTTTGGTTGAATGTTAACTACTTTCTTTTGTGTCTTCGTCTTCTTGTTTACAGTGTCAGAGTGGTGGTAGCCTTTCTATCAAGACCTAACACATTCTGCTAAAAAATTAAGAATCTCGCGAAATTCATAGCACGGTCTTTATTCCATATTCTCTATTTTAGTAATTAGCCCATTTCATCGAGATACTTGGATGTGAAGTCTATAAATTTCAACATTATTTGAGATTGCGTCTTTTCGTGTCAACTGTCCAATATTTGCAGCTAACGAAATTTTGACATGTTTATTCATTATGGCTTTTATCGAGCTTTGAGGCCGGTCTTTTTATTTATATTGGGCCTAATGCTTCAGTTATTCAGCCCATCCAACCTTAAGATTTATTTGAGCGATGTTTTATATTTTAACATAAATAATAATTATCTTGATGAATATATTTAATTCACTTTTTAAAAAATTATGAAAGCCATTATATAGATTTTAATTTATCTATATAGATTTTGTAGGACTTAGCTTCTCTCCATTTTTTTTTCTTATTTTTTCTCCATTTCCATCTCAATCATTGAATTTATTTTTGAATGGTTGAGATTTGATGTTTAATTGTATGAAATATCAAATCTCAATTGTTTAAAAATAAATTTAACGGTTGAGATAAAAGGTGAACAGGAAATGGAGAAAGAAAAAATGAAAAGAAGTAAAGTCTGATTTTTTATCATATGCGGACGCGTGATGGAGAAAGAAAAAATGGAGAGAAGTGAACTCTAATTTTTTATTACATGCGGACGCGTGGGCTTGGAGCGAGGCGCGTTAACATTTTCAATGAAGGGGGATGAGAGAGAGTAAGAAGCTTGGGGAAGTGGGTAAGGTGGATTTTTCTTCCATCCCACCTAGCACTTGCCATTTCTCAATTGCTTCTGTTCATCGCCATTCCCCGCTGCCTATTTCTTATTCTCCTATTATTCTTGTTGTTGTTAGCTTCTCTCCCTCCTTTCCCTGCCTAGTTTCCTAAATCTTTTCTTGCGCCTTTCCTTTCTGACCCTCACGGCCGTCCAATTATCATATAAAGTGAGGCCACTTCAAAGCCAAAATGGACCTCCATGTTCGCATTTCTTTCATAATATACACTCCAAGCATTGCACGGGTGTTTATATTTATATTATATTAAAAATACAATCATGGTGTGCCCTATGTAGCTTTAATTAAGCCTCCAAAATTCTGATTATTTCAGAAAATTCGGAGGTCCCATGCGCTTTCCCGTTGTTCTTTTTTTGTTCCCCGACAGATTGATTGTTCTTGGATTGCGTATCAGTTTCTTGGGGGGAGCATAGTTAAAGATCATAAAACTACGTTGGGCTACTTCATATCTTCAAGATGATGAGTGAAGAAGCTTTGCAAGTACGTGAGACTAGCCGCCGGTACGCAGTGAAGGGCCCCGTGCCAAATGAAAAACGACATGGACGTCTCTCGTTTATATACGCGTCGTTTTCAATTTGGAATTCCACGCTCCTATGCGCTCATGACTCACTGGAGTCGTGCATAACGCCTCTGGTTTGCCAATTGATATTTTTCTCTATTTCGCCTAGTATTAGAGAAATGCTTGTACAGAGTTTTCATCTGTGATGCAATGTTTATAAATCTTACATGTAATTTTAAGGAGAATGATGTTTGATTGCACATAACATAATGATGTTTTGATTCTAGTTTAAAGAAACAACAAGGTTTTGGACACAGTATATTATAAATTCATAACTATCAATTTTCACAAGAGTGACTTGTTTTTAGGAAAAAAAGTATCAATAATTCTCCACACAGCAATTAGTTCTGACTGAAAGGGCAATTCCCTAATAACTTGACGATGTAATGTCGAAATCTTTGCTGGCAAAGTTTTCTATATTTATTATCGGACCATGACTTAAACGTGATTGCTGTAAATAGACATGTGTCATCTGCAACAAGTATCGGTAAATTTTCTTGTAATTTTTCTAAAACACATGGAGCACTGTTTTCCAGTTAGCTGTACTTATCTGACAGCCGCTGACTAACGTTCCACTAATAGTTGCTGGTGACGCGTGACATATGATCTGAATATCACGATTCTGGGTTAACGCTTGACATTATCTGTTGGATAATGCCCGAGAGCAAGCATTTGATTTGAAAAAAAAAAATGCAGTAATTTTATAGTTGTAAAATGCACATACGCACACTGATTCTGCAGTTGCTGGTTGCATATGGGCGCGTGTTCGGCCAAAAAAAAAAACAAAAGAAAAGAGAAGGTATCCTAAGGTATGTCAAAGATGTGAGATCTTAAAATGAAAAAAAAAATCAAACTTCTAATTAAATGAGGGAAAATTGAGCTCTCTCAACACAATTTACCTGGATATAAAAATATAAAATGAAAAAAATTAATGCACACACAAGAAAACAGAGATATATTAATTAAAAAAAGAGATGGAGAGCTATACCGACCATACAATAAAAAAATAAAAACTACAGTTGCATGATAAAAAGAAAAACAAAATAGCAGACTCAGAGTTTAAAAATTTAACTAGTAGTTTGTTGTTGATGATGATTCCCTTTGATGAAATAGTATTCCTCTATTTATAGATAATTTTGGCTTGATGCCCGTGATCCATGATCGTTACTTTTCTTAAATTTAGCAAGCAATTTTTCTATCATGATCACTTTTTTTACTTTCAAAATTCAAGCATCATGGGTGAAATGTAAAAATAATGGCCTGGACCTAGTCTTGATTTAGTGACTAAAACTTTATAAATATTTATTTTTAATTATTTTAATGTTGATTAAGTAGAATTGAGCTCGGGTCTCCAAATTCACAATTTGAGTGTAAATAATATAAAAAATATGATCATAGGTCATTATAATTTTATCGAGTTTGCTTTAATCTTTGTAGTGTTTTTTTTTCAGTATTTTCAATTTCTAAGATTTTAACAAAATTGGGTGATGTTTGTTTTTTAGGTCCCTAATGATCTTAAATTATAAGGACTATAAGGATTTAAAACAAATTACAAGCATTAAAGATAAAATCTGATAAACTTATACAGACCAATAAATTATGTTTTCCTATATGTATATATTGAAAAAATATAACTTTTAATTTCTGCACTTTGTTCGCATTTTGTTATAGGTCGTTATTCTTTTTTTTTATGTTTTAAGTTCTATATTTTTTTTGAATGTTTTAGGTCCGTAAATGAATAAAATGTAAGGACTTTAAAGAAATTTAAAATATAAAAAATAAGAGTACAAGAACTTAAAACATTCAAAAAAAAGTACAGAACCTGAGTTTCTTTACACACACGTGTATCATCATACTATGATATATATATATATATATATATATATTCCCGGTGAATTTGTAACCTAAAGATAGTTCGTGATTGAATTTAAACGCGACAAGTAAGTATGAACAAAATTACCTAAACTCAAATTAACAGCTACAATAACGGGTTTGGAAAAACAGGTAATTAATTTATTGTCCTCCAGTGGCTCCCGACGACATATAATTAGGCGAAGCTAGTGTCCGAACAACAAGGTATCTGACTACTGCCCTGAAAAGTCGAGTGGAGCGAATCCAATGCTTTATTCTAATATAGATAGATTATTCGGATAACGTGTTAGGCGGGAATTACACGCACATAATATGTATGTATACCGTATACTTACACCATGATTAAGAGATATTTTTTTTTTTAGGCGAAGTGGGATGATTAAAAGACTTACATCATTGTTTGTGAGTTTATTTAAAGAGGGATGGAATGGCAAAATAAGACTTTTATTTTCATCCATATGTCAATTTTTTTTATCTTCTGAATTGAGAGTTAAAGATGGAGTAACATAATATAATTATTTTATTTATAAAATTACTCACAACCTTCTATTTTAAAAACAAACTCATCTATTATATTTATTCTCAAATTGTCTCTCTCTCTTTTTGCTAATGTTGCATGT